TTGCAATTTTCTTGTGCGTTAGTGAATGAACTATAGCTCGTCTGCGTCTTACACCAAATAGCATCAGATTTCGATTTTTTTTTGTATAATCGTCTCGTACGCGAATAGCAAGAATGAATGGAACGATTGGAATACAATTGTAAGGATATCGGAAATTGCTATACGATACATGTATAAGCATTCATGCCGCGCTCCGATTACAATTCTTTGTTCCCGGCGTATACACAATTTGCTACGGTTAGAGCAGGATGTTTCGAGTTCTATTAACTTTTCTGTTACACTCGATAGTGACAGGCTTCTGAGCCGTTTATGCCAAGGCTATCGCCTGACCATTGATGCGCCACGTATCGCTTTACAACCCCGTTTTCGTGGCGATCATCCCCCCGAGTCCGTGATTCGAAGCTCAGTCGCGTGATCGGAAACCGAACTATGAGTAATCAAGAAACTGAATGGCATTGAAAACTAGGCGAGAGATCTCGGAAGGAGAGACATTAAATTAGGAAAATGGGAACGCGACCTAATTCCTTGTTTTAGTATTAAATTTAACACTAGACTGCCAAAGGAAGTCATTTTGACTGCTTTTGGGCAAATGTACAAATAATAATGCATAAATTATTTTTTTTTCCCAAGTGAAGTAAATTTTTTTTATTGTTAACATTTACTAATAACTTGTTATATGACTGTAAATAATATAAAAAATATTAAAAATTAATTTTAGACAAATTTCTTTACACATTATTCTTTCACAATTCAGTCATTTTGAATGCTTTTGGGCAATATAGGTATATACTAAGTTTCAGTCTTTCTAGTGTTAAACAACGATCGGGCAGTTACACGGGTTTTTACCGTGACGTACGCAAAGGAGTAGCGGTTGCACAGCCGGAGATGACGAGTTTCATAACATTGAATGGCTCTGTCGTAGCTCGCGTTACGTTTTAAGTTGTGCCAAGGTGAACGCGTGCTACTCTGCTACTACCGTCAAACACATGCCTATCTATGTAGAATCGCATACTCGTGCGTTCTGTTTACTCTGCGGCACACTACTCAAACCGTTTAATCGATGCGATGCATTAGTTGAGCCTCACGATGATCGACCGTGTACGGTCGTGATTAAATCGTCCCGTAAATATAATTGTGAGCCAGGGCCCGTACGGGTTCCGTGCCAAAGCGAAAAGCGTAACGACGCGGATCTATCGATAAGCACAGGCTCACAGGATTCATTGTAATTATCTTGCCCGCACGTGGCCACATTTTTCGGGGACGAAACAGAAGATGGGAATTATGTCAATGCACGAACAGCAAGAATTTGACACACTTTAATTAAAGAAAACTGACTCTTCAAGGATTGTGCTAATTATCAGCGAATATTGAATGCAAATATTTGCCATGAAAAATGTAAATCGTCAGGTGGTTCGACGGTGAAGAAATATCAAACAGACGAAGATTTTGTTTCTTATATTTCAAAATACGTGGAAAAATTTTCAAATTGTAATTGAAAAGTCAGGAAAAACAGTTCGACGCTTCATGAATAAATGATGTTTCTTCTATTAGTCACACAATTTATAGATAATTATGCGAGTCCGAGGCGAAACTGGTTTTAAATATCCAAAACGATTCTGTGTTCCCACGCGTAAGTACGCAGAAGCAACTCCGCACGATTCATTCGTTCATTCATCGATAGAAGCGCGCTTGAATTCGATATCCGGTGAGAGGATCGATCGATCGATCGTTTGCAGAAAACCATTGGAATCGTGGTATGCATTCGGAATAAAGCGAAAAGAACATTGCCGAGCAATCTGTACCAGCAGTGAGCACTGGCATCCCGGAAGCATGAATCGAGACTAATTCAGAGTAATTTCAACGACTAAACCACCGCGAGTCGATTGCATCCACCCTTTCGTCACTCCGAAAATAAAATATCTCCTCGTCGGATTAACAATGATTGAATACCATGAAATTAGGATCGTTTATAATGCCAAAAGCTCCGTCGCGGGAATTTTGAATATTGTCTTGATGATCAAATAATGATGATCGATCGGAACGATAAACGATTCTTACCTTCTTGTTCGCGTCGATCCTGACTTTTCGATCGCGCGGCTTCCTGCTAACGAGTTCGACGATTCCCAACGACTAACACTCAATTTTCCCACAACGAGCAGAAGAGGAAATTATCACTATACTATCCAAGGGTCGACGAATGGTATTGGTGGACCGATACACGCGGCGTTTATATGCACGCGCGTGCAGTGTGCACGTACAGTGTCGCCAGAGGTGCGAGGGAGGAGAAAAGGACACGAGTGACACACGAGGGACCGAGCGGAACCGCGGCGTGACTGTACGCAGCGGTCGACGAACGACTGAATTTATACAGCGAACGACGCGAGAACAGCTTCAAATTTCTGACGATCTTTGATCTTTGGCCCGTGTTTCCGAAACCGAATTGCCCTCCGGAGCTGACGTATCACCCGACGCATCGACGGGCAAGCTGTGTAAGTGACGGTGAGACAGCTGTTGGACGAATCGTCTGCGGTCTACTTCCGTTATCGATGCGCTATTACATCGCCCCGCACCGAGAACGGAATTCACGATCTTACACACACCGATGTATCCAACTATTGCGTACGTCTCTCTGGATCATGCATCATCGGACGAACGGTTCTATATAATTGTTTCTTACGTTTGCGATGATCGATCGCGAGGATCGAACGCCCCGTGATGGGAAGAACTATCCCCCTGGTCGTCCTCTATTCGATAAGATAAGAACCTGAGAACCGAATCGACACCACGTGCTCCTCCTGTACTATGAACTTGATAAGATTCACTGACAAACGATCCTCTCTACTCGTAGACGTAACACGTAACGCGCACTAGAGCGGGCGGCTCTCGGGAAACGCGCGATTAATGCTCGGATATCGACATCTCTTCGGTATTTTAATACACTTCCGTTGTACACATGTCAAATTTTTAACCTATCACACATCGAGCGTTTCGGAGTTACTGCGTATACTTGGCCGAAACTGTGCGAACCCTACTCTCGTGCACTCGTACGCACTAACGCCAGCGCAGAACACCGACGACTCTATACATGCTCGCTCCGGCTGCAGCCATCTTGACACTCGCGCCATTTCCAACGACGAGAATCGAGCGGAAAAACTGACGTTAATTCGGTTAAAACGACGTGCGATTCGTCCTATGTAATTAATGGGAAGCTTAGAAATTTCGGTGAGGAGAACCAGTTGGATGTTTTAACAAAATTCGTTGGAGAACGTGACTTCCGTTTGAATCGAATTTTGAATTGAAATCTCCCGCCCGTCACGTGACGCAGCTAGCGACGGTACGTACTTGAAGATCGTCGACGTTCAAGCTGATAATATTCGTTAACATCACACAAAATGGACACGGAGGATCATAAATTAACTAAAGAGACGCGATGGACATTAAAAAATGTAATATGAGTGGGTGGAAAATCCTGTAAGGACTCAAATATTCAATCCATAACCCGCGATGCTACGTGCCTCTTGACGGGGACAGCCGGCTTGCACGCGGACCAATCAACATCCGAATTTCAATGGGCGGGTATGTGGCGTGATCCATGATGACGTCATCGCACACCGCAGGGTCCCCGATCGATACGGGACATTTAACGAGCTCCTGCTTCTTCTAACCCCGTTGCCATACACGATCAATGTTACACTTCGAAAGATACAATTCTCCATTCTTCAGTTAAGGAAATAGAAATTCGATCATCAACCAGTCACGTTCTGTCTAACGATTCGAACGTCAACGAATTTTTTATGATTTAAAAAAAA